AACTACGTTGGTACCTTATTTCCGCAGTTGAAATACCGAAGAATGCTATATTGAATCGATTGATAATTCCATAAAGGTGCAAACTTTCATTCCTATGCTAGTAACTGTGCACAGGAAACCTGGACCTGATTTCAGTGCTGATATACCAGTCTTCATTGACCTTCCTGCTCCTAAAGGTTATGTTACACAGAGAGTAATCGAGGTAAGCTAGTAGTTATACCGTGAGAGCGTCATGGTGAAAGCCAACAGTTGTTTCCTCTTACAGAAGGGCGAACGAACACCCCTGTATGTCCAGCAGACTTTCGATAAGGATTTGTGCTGGTTAGTTGGATTAATTGAGGCGGATTTGAAGCTTTATGGAATGAAAAAGGAAGGTTGGTTTAGTTTTGTATGTTTGTCTTGATGACTGCTGAGTGACCCTACAGATTTTGTAAATTGAAGGCAGCAGGCGCGCTGGAATCCTTGTATCTCCTACACCCTGAGCGCAACTTTCCTATGAATTCTTCTTTCAGGTCCTTTCAAAAAATCGACCGTCATTTTTGTGGAGAAGAAAATCACTTCAAACTATCTCGCCTTATTTCTTCAACAGCTAGGATATTGTTTCGAACCAATGAACTCGTTCGTTTTCTTTTCTTTTAGAAATTGGTGGTTCAAAGAGAGACTAATTTGACTGCGAAAACAGTTCAGGGACTACACCTATCACAATAATAAAGAAACGATCGAGAATTTGCTGGACGGGAAAATTCAAGGTTTAGTGGCCACCAACAAAATTGCCCGTGGACAAGATATTCCAGATGTGGATCATGTTGGTGATGCGTTCTTTCGATAGATAGCTGTCAGAAATCGGATGCACCAACCAGGTGGCTCCTAAGTGACACAAGAACCGCGGGCTTGCGCAGTGCTCCTCCCGTTTGACGAGTGACATTCGGCGGTAACAGCGCCACCTAACGCTCCCTGTTATTAGATTGCGCATTTATTAACATCGAAATGAAGGTAAACTGTAAACTCACCTCCAGGGGCGACCCTTGACATTGCTAGACGAATAACTCTGCAAATGCAGTAGCGTGACTTTCTCCGATCGAAATTTTACAGGAACGAGGCTGTGGGGTGGTAATACCCGGACCTAACCGTAGCTAAACACGCTAGTTGTCGACGCGCTCCCACTTCTGGTTGTTCTCTGCCGCTGAGTACGTGTTTCTCGCGCTTACTGGTAGAGTATAAACTGAATTGAGAAGACGCAATCAAGTAGCGCGCTTTGCGATGACTAGGGGACTGGCTGGATGAACGGCGGTGTGGTCGCATTGTGGAGCCGGACAACACTTTTTGCAGCCCCGTTCCCGTGCCCTTTGGAGCATAGAATGTAGCACGCTACTGCAGTTGCGGAAGCATTCGCCCCGCAATAATTACGATTCAATGAGACGATTGTGCAGGTCGTCTTAAACTTGAAGGAGAACCGTTTCGTGGCTCTGTCGCTCGACTGCGTAACAACTTGGATGGGCCTCCTGGATTGAGTGGTTGGTGCATTCGGTTGCATGACAGGGATAGCCAGTGACAAGGCAGCTTACGCGGTGAAGGCTTAAACGTATTCGGCGAGATCACTTTTTAGGTTATCATCTACGAAATGGCAGAATCCTTTAATGATTACAAGCACAGGTAACTTTTTGCTATACAAACACCGAATATTCCTTTCCAAGGTAGCCTGTTGTAGAATTGGTCGCACTGGTCGCATGGGTCAAGGAGGACGAGCCACCGTTATGTTTAATATTCAAAAAGATGAGGCACATATTGTACCTTTCGTTGACGTGGGTCCTATTTGTATTGCATGTATTTTTTTTTGCATTCAAAGGCACGTCCCGCGTTAAATTGGTCTGCAAGCCGCCCTTGGGCAAGGGAGTCATGTTCTCGAGTACACGGAAGATCTTCATCTTTTACCCCACGCTGAATTATCTTGATACTCCATTCAGATGTGATTATCGTATTCAATAGACCGAACTACCCCTGGTTCAGCGAATTCGGTGGTATTTGGCGTAGGCCATAAAGCGAATATATTGTTCAGGAGGTGAAACTACCCCCAAGGACGAATTTTCGAGCGAATCTAGCCTTCGGAGAAAAAGGACGGCAAATAACTGGCCTGAAATTGTAAAGTTGGCAGTGAAGGGTAAAGGGAGTGAGAGTGCCAGTATTTCTCCTTCATTCTCTCATCTTGAGGGAGTCTTTTTCTACATCGGGTTACTTCTAGAGAAGTTAACGGTTATCATTGTAAGACTAGGGAAAGCTGAACGGTCATGGCATAAAGGCGATGGAAGACAAATTGTACCTTCACCTGCGTGGATCCTGATTTTTGCCATGTGTGATGTGAAGGGGTCCGCAGCTGCAGTAGCGTACCTTTTTTCTTCGCTGAGAAGTACGTTGGAACGGGGCTGGACAGTAGTGATAGAAGACCGCCCACTCTGTACTCCGGCCGCGCTATCTTCAAGGTGTTCCACTCGGTCGATACCGAGGTCTCACAGCGAAATACGCACTCAGGAATAGAGAACAGATGGAAGTGACTGTGCTCAGACAAGTAGCGCGCTAGGTTATGGCTGGGCGCCTGACTGGCCGTGGGGGAGCACGTGCAGTGTGTGGAGCCAACATCCGGGCATCAATACCCCCAGCCTCGTTGCCGTGCACTTTCGACTGGAGAAAGTGGTACGACATCGCAGCTGCGGACCCAGACATACAGCAAAGACCAGGATTCAGGTGTGGTGTATGTATAATTTTTCTGAAGGCATGTATCACCATAATTTGGTCGGTCTAAATGCTGGGAAGGTACTATGTGGTGGGAAAATGAAAAAAAAACGAAGTGAAATGGTCAAAAACCTGCAAAGAAAAGCCTTCCTTTTTCATGACTCAGAAAGTGAATTTCGGACGAGTTTCCCGTAAGCATTGTGTCAATAACCGCTGCGGTAGATATGTGGTAGATCTATATGAAGCGATACGTGCATCAGGTACAGTCGTCCATTTGTGGGCGGGCGGGCGCGGTGGGCGTCGGGTCGGTGTGTTGTAGCTTGATAGGGGCGCGGAATCTTGCTTGAAGAAGACGGTACGCATTGCCTGCCCAGGGGCACGGAATTCCGTCCTGCCATGAGTATTAATCCTACTTGTCTTAGAGATTATCGTGCCAGCTGCCTTTGGGCTGTCAGGTGTGAAAGGTCGTGTAATAGATGGTGCCTTTTCCCGGTTTCGAATCCCACCTTAGGTCAAGGGTTTACCCATTACTCAGAGTTCAGGCGATAACTGGGAAGAATTATCACCTAAAAGCAAAAAAATTTAGGAAGCAGCCATTAAGTGTTAGTTTTTTTATGACCGCCCCTTTAAAATACCAGGAAGAATTTGGCCGTCGTTTCAGTTTTTGAAGTATCACAATCAGATCATACCGCAATGGCTATGGGACTTGTACTGCTCGCGTACTCATGCGGAACAGAATGCGTAAGTGCTGCCCTTCATTATTATTACTGTTGGGGGTCGTTCAAGTTGATTTACAGAAGGCAATCGAAAATAAGTGCAGTTCGGCGAGGGGAGGGGGCATTTTGCAGTTTTTGCTTCCCCAGTTCCGGTTTACAAGTCTCACTCTGGTAAAACCTGTGAACTCTTGTGAAGCTGGAGCAAGCTCGTCGAGCCAACATGGTTAAACATGTCAAGTCTTGTGGGCTCATGAAATATCTCATGAAATGAATTTCGCCATGAATTTACAAGAGTTGACAGGTGGCTTTATAAATTTTGGCTGATATCATTTCGTGGTTTCACGAAATTCCACAGGTTTCCACTTGATGGCTCGACATCAAGTGGAACATGGGACGCAGCAAAAATGCGAAATGCTCCCCCCCCCCCCACGTCACCGAACTGCACCTGAAAATATTCAACAATATTGATGTTGCAGTGTACGACTGCATATTAAGGGATGTAACATCATGCTCTGACAGTTTTATATCGGCTGGTACAGAGATATCTGCTGTGGAGGACAGTAATGATGATGAAGTGATAATGGCACGTTTTTCGAATCCATCACCCTGAGTTTCGACTCTCTACGCGAGCAATTTTCTGAGACTTTCAAAGTATTAAGTTGGCCGTGAAGATCTTTAAGAAATTTTTTATATTCCAGTTCCCTGTATCCGCTTGATCTTACACTTTCCTACTGGGTACTATCGCGGGCAAACTCGGACAGAAATATGACCATCATGCCTCAGTGCGTTAGTCGGCACTATTCGGCTTAGAAGGGGCCATTTTCACTCTAGCTGTTCTCTCTTACTGCTGTTAAGTTACACGTCTCACCTTGATGAGACTTGTAAGCTCTAGTAAAGGGTAAGCGAAGCTCATGCTGTTGCATAGCTCCTCAGGAATTTAGAGGTCAAGACGGAAGACTCTCACAGTTACTGACGGAAACCAGCGGAATGCCCCCAACGAGCCGAACCGCCCCCGAAATCTTCCGCTGATACCAAGCTTCCAAAGCAGTGACTGCAGCCCTTATGACTATATCTGGGTTTCGGAGGCCATCTAAACTCAAGTGGAAGGAGAATCACCCTGAGACATGATTAGACTTTATCCAATCCAGGAGCGAGGGCATCTGGCGCTCTTATTGTTAGTGACGTTTGTTCCTCAGTTGAAACTGAAGGTGAACAGGTGGGGAACGGTGGAGAAGCTGGGTTGATATTTCCCATAATCTCCAAACCAGAGACCTCAGTCGCGGTTCGAGGCGTTTTCGACCTTTTTTTTAAGTTTCCGAAGAGACCGCTAAATGACTGCCCTCATCCGTGTGTAGCTCCCAAAGTTGCGTTCAGACTTCGCGATGACGCATGACGACGCGCCGTAACGCGTTGCCATTGCGACGGCACTCCTTTGCTATTGGAGAAGGCCGCCATAGACGGTGTCGATCGGCGCCGGCCGCTAGTGTTTCAGAAAAGTATAGGAGAAGAGGAGGGTCAGAGTGTGTGATTAGGCAACACGTACTCTCCTATTCTTCCATAGTCTCTCGAAGCATTAGTGGTACGGCGCCGATCGATATCCATCTATGACTGCGTTCCCCTTTATAGCATTGGAGCGCTATAGCAATGATAGCGTGTCGACGCGCCTCATCGTGAAGTGCGAATGGTGCCTAACCTGCTGCTAGACCATTTCTCAGACGGGGAATGCTTCAGCACCTGTACCTAAGTTGTAATTTACTAGTGCCCTACCGCCCACTCGGAATTTACTATTGCTCTACAGCTTTCCTTTCGAAGGCGGCATCCAGAAGCGGTTTAAAGGCAGTGGACACGTTGCTTGAGGCGGGCCATTGTTGTCGGCGCTTGATGGAAGGGCGGCAAGAGGGCGTTTGGCCACACCTCACTCGGCCTTTCAACCAATGACGTTTGCGACAACCGCCCGCCCACAGCCATCGTGCCGACTGCCTTTGAGTAGCAAAGTGCCATCAATACAATGATAGGCACTATCGATCTCTTGTTATGACACAGGCAGTAGGTAACAATTAGTAGCAATAATATTATATCCAAAGCGTTTACTGTATTTTTGGCCAACCTAATACTTGAAAGTGCGCTGACTGTTCGGTCCATGCACCGATTTCGATTCCGATTATAAGAAACGATTATGTAGCAAGATTCCGATAACCATTCTATGAGCAGTACGGATGGGGGGGGGGGGTGGTGGACATTTTGCCATCCTGCACTTTCGCTACTTCCCATCGATACGTTCGCTTGAGTTGACGGGTATTTTTAACGAGCGTTGACAAGTCTCTACAAATGCCGACCGGTATTAATTCGTGTCTTCACTAGATTTCACAAGTCTCTACTTGATAGCCAGACACATCAGTGGGAAACAGCTAATCTGCGAAATCCCCCCCTCCCTCTCCCAAACGAACTGCGAATATTCTACTGTACGCACCTTTGTTGTACGATTTGGCTTATGAAATCTTCAAATTATAAATTCAAGAAAACAAGCGGTTTATTGTACCCCAAATTGCGCCGCAAAACAGATACCAATAAACTTGGGGTAACTGAATCGGCTTACGGTATGCTCAGTTATGCGTTCACGGAGTCGACATATCTTCACGCGCATTTTTGTGGATACTGTATGCGTTCTGTTTTCCTGAACTTATAATCTGTTATGATATGAAATCAACTGTAGAGTTGAGCCATAACCACAAGACTGGTTGCATCGCATAATAGCATCGACTTTCGGGTCTGTTGCTCTCTTCTGTTACTTATCTTTGTATTTCTTTCTCAACTGTTGTTCTTTTGTTGAGTGGGTGCATGAAGGTGCTTGTTCATGGGGAAACAAGACAACCGTAGTTTGGCGCGTCGCCGCGCGCGGCGTATCCTGGAGCCGCACGCGGCAAATTGATCACGTATGTTAGTTTGGATTGAAGCACCGAAACTCATATGAATTCAAGCAAAGGCATGTGATGCCACGCGATATCGAATGTTCTAATCCTCACTCATATCCAGATGGCCAGTCAAGGCAACTCGTCTGCAGGGCGCGGGCGCCCACTAGCGCAGCATACTACAGTTGTCTTGTCACAAACCCAGTTTTTGCACTACTTAGTTGTTCTTAAATTGCCGTACAACGAGAGATTCAATCCATTGCATTTTGGCAGTCATGATATCGAAGAGGCTGTGACGACATTTGAAAAAAATTCTCCATGATTGACAGCGTTCAGAATTCGCGATGGCGCGCGTCCACGCGCTACAATTGCAACAGCGCTCCAAAGCTATAAACGCTAACGCACCTGCAAAGGGCCGGTGCCGAAATTCCCGTCTGCGAACGCATCCGCAGATGGAAGTCAATGGGCGTCGGCCGCTTGTGCCGTATTGCGCAAACGAGTATCGATCGGCAATGGCTGCTAGAACGCGTTTCAGCGCCCGCTAGAACGCGTTTCAGCGCGTCAACGCGAAGTCTAACGCCGCTTCTCTTGTTTGCGAGTTTCTTTCCTAGTTCTGGAGCCGAGAAGTCGAAGTGGAGGAAAAAAGAACGTGGTGCTATTCAGAGTCGTCATCCCTGATAGAGCGCGTGAAGGAGCGTGAGTTGGTACACAATCAGAACAGCTTTTCCCGCCATTCGTTGCGAACTCATCTTGGCACCTTTGGTGGAAAAAGCCGTCTTGGCAGCTCTCCGAACCACTCTCCGTCACACGCCCTATCGTTTGCACGCATCGTGACTGTACTTGCATAAATCAGATTGGAGAATAGTTCCTGCAGCACCTTGAAGGGAATATCAGACAGGCTTTTCATTTATTGAACGGTATCATTGGAGGCTCACTTACTTTAAAGCTTCAGAATACTCGTGAAGCCACCGTATGCCGAAGCTGGGATCTTCAGAAATTCCCTGCAGTAATCAGATTGTAAAGTATTTGGAAAAAAGTTGCGATTTTTTTGTGGAGCAAATTGTTCAGCGGGTTGCAGGACTTTTCCCCAACCTAATATTTCTTATTTAGCGTTGTAGTTGTTATGTATTTCTTTTAGAACGATGTTGGTGTAAAAAGACAAGGATTCACTTATTTTCCATCGGAGATTGTAATATATTTCTATTTAGTATTGGAATAGTACCGTATTGTTAGCCAGTATCTGTTGCTTGCCAATAAAGAGTAGGAATGACTTGGTGGCACGCAGTTTTGCTGGGACAGCGTTTAGACTTCGCGATGACGCGCTACTGTCGCAACAGCGCTCCATCCTATAGGCGCGAACGCAGCCGCAAAGGGGGGGGGGGGGGATCGATTGGGGAGGGCTGCTCGTGTATTGAGAGAATATGGGGGAGCAGAGGGAGTCTGATATCGATCGGCACCAGCCTCTGGGGCTTAAAGACTGAAGAATGGGAGTGTACAGATTGTGTGAAGACAGCGCCTGCCCTTTTGTTTTCCTTTTTTCGCAAATGCAAGCATCCGGCGCCGATCGATCGTCTGCAGCTGCGTTCAAGTTTACCGGATTGGAGCAGCACTGCAATTATCGACGCGCGTCATCGCAAAGTTTGAATACTGCCTAAATTGGAGGGAGAGGGTTGCTGGATTCGACATCAGCAGGTTCTGCATCAGCTGTGAAAGCTGGCGGGGGAGTATAACTGTTGAAAACTGGCATTCGATGCGAAAGCTGGGACATGTCCACATGTCAAATGGGCTGTTTTTGGCGCGGCGCTAGCCAGTTTTCCGTCAACTGAGGTCGTCTGCCAGCTTCCACGGATTGGTTTCCGAGACGACATGGTTTTCTCTAGTGTGGCGGTTGAGTATAGTGGCAACTACAGTGCACTGAAGGGGCATGTGGTTGAAAAATGGGCTGAAATGTGAACTTGGAGGCGAGAAACTATAATGAACATCTTTATTGTGGGTAGCATCGAATGCTAGAATAAATACATATGCCACAGTCCTACATCTGCAACTTATAGGTGCTGGGCAAAAAACACGATTTCTAGTGACTGATTTGTCGGCGCATTTCGGTGACGGGGGTGGGTGGA